GAGAGGAGTGAGCGAGGGGCGGCGTTGGCTCGGCGTCGTTCCACCGCAAGCGGGGTACATGGGATGGTATAGTCCCGACCTTACGCCACGTTATACGGGGGTGTAACGCGGCGCAAGCCCGGTATCATTGATTTAACATATATCTATATCTTACGCGTAAAGAGACAGCGAAAGCTTTTCCCTATAGCGAGGCGAGGTATCGCATTATATTTGTCCTAAGCTCGGCAGGGAGAGCATTATGCGCCCGAATATTGTGTGATAATGGCCGAGATCGCGAGAGATCCTATTGAAAACGCTGTTTAAACATTTGTCGAAAGAGAGAGAGAATCTCCCTTTCAAAATGTCTATATATATATATATCTATAATTTCATAACTCGAAATCAATTGTCGAAATTACAAATTTACTGTAGACATAGATATGTATATATATCGCCTTTTCTCCCCGCGCGCGTGCCGAAGAAATGATGCAAAAAATATTCGCGGCACCAAGATCGTTATTGATCCTCGAACAACTTTAATGAATATTATTCTTCGCGACGGTTCTTTTTCATATACTTTTCGTATGATAAATTTAAAAAACACGAATTTTGATTTGAATTTTTCGTAATTTTTGAATCTACAAGAGAAAGGAGAGACGAATATGTGCGAAAAAAAAAAAAAAACAACGTAAGAATAAACATTTTATTTATATTTATTTATTTCAATCATTTCAAAGAGTGAAAACTTAATTTATACAAATCTTTTCTTATATATATATATATACCTACGTCAGGAGCATAACAAATGTTAATTGCATGCTTCTTGTTATATGAAAGTATTTATCTTACTAGGAATAGAAAAATTCGCGAAGAGGTGCGCCTGTCTCATCGGGTTATATTAACATCAACAATTCTTTTAAAATACATTCCTCGATTACTTTCAACTTATTTGTTAGCAAAATATACAAGTTCAATATACATAGAAAAAACGCGTTCGTTCTACTTACATCCGTTAATATGGTTTTTTTTTTATTTTTTTTATTCTTTATTTTTTTATTTTTTTTTTTTTTATTTATCTTTTGTTTTAATACGAGATCCGAAGATCCAAATCCACCAGGGAACGCAGGGAGCAACAGACAAATTGAGACTCGCGGGTTGTAAAACAAGATAAGCGGATATCATTCGAATGACACGCGTTTAGCAGAACCGCAGAGCGCTTGTTGGCAAGCGATTGTTAATTGCCACTGGCACGCGTGTACTCTTGCAACAGATCTCGAGGAATGGACTAATTACAGACGATTATTAAGCAGAAAGAGCGCCGAATTTTGCTGAACGCGGCCAATGTCGCTTGTCTCTCGTTTCACACACCCGAATCCTTTTAATTATACCTAGATATTATATGATACATATGTGTCATATAATACATAAGAAATACCGCCTTTTGCCGCATAACAATCCGATCTCTTGTTGCAGAAGTTTTTTTTTTTTATTTAGAAAATGCGACCTTCGTCTCTTAACTCACATGGGCGAGAGGCGCGCCGCGCTTCAAAAATGTATTATAAAAAAAAAAAAAAATTCGGAATACATGATGACAAAGATAAACTTGTACGTGTGAGTGTTCCTTCTCACTACGATCGGTATTACGTTTGATCACACGTATAAAAAATAATATCGATAAGCTTAAAAAATTTACTGTGATAAATTTTTGTGTGTGTAAATTGATAAAAATGTAAGAAAAAAGTGAACAATATCTTACGTAGATGTATTTTTTTCTAAAGAGGGTTCGCTTATAATTTCTATAAATCTTTACAAACTTCATACGCGAAAATATTATTAAACTACTTGTGTTTCGCTACATCAGAACTGCTTAAATTTCTAAAAAAAAAAATTATGTGCATGTTCATCATTGCAGTATTTGTTTGTAATTTGTGTACGAAGACAAAAAAACTGGGATCTTCCATCGCGTGAAACTGTTAGAGACTTATAGAGCAGCTACATCATTCGTACATATATTAATCTACGTGTGTGTTTATTTCATATTTACTGAGACATCACTTCGGTTACACGCATATTGACGACAGGTCGTAGTTCTTGCTGCGCGTAATCTTCCGGCAACGGTAATTGAGATATCAGACGAACCAACAGCTCGGATCTCCTCTCGTTTTTCTGCAAAAGCAACAGATTTCTGGCCAGGTGCAAAACTCTCTTCGCGATTTCGGCTTGGCACAATCTAAACAAGTAAGAGAACGCAGATTAGATAACAAATTCGCGATCAATCAATTGCTTTTATGAAAATGATATTATTACGCATCACGTGATGTACGCGCACCTGTGTTTAGCAGTTGGACACGGAAATTGATCGATTTTCTGACACAAGTTCGTCAATCGAGGCTTCAGCGCTTCTAGCTGATAAGTTATCCCGCGATAATCTGACGCGGACTTAAGTAAATTTTGAATTTCGCTAGTTATTTCCATGTACTCCCACAAAAGCTGTCCCTGATGCGTCCATCCGTTAATTATGCCGCTACATTCGGTTGGCACCAGAGGACTCAACAAAGATTTCAAATATTCATAATTCTCTGCAAAAATAAACCATTTTATGCAAAATTGTTCAACTGACAAATACAAAATAATTATATATATATATATAAAACAATATAGAAAAAACAATACCGTTAATTATAGCCTCAGCTGCTAAATGTTCTATGATAATCTCATGAGCTTGATTCCATTGTTCAGCCTGAATATAATACCACGCTGCTTCGCCGTACCTGACACGTAAAATCAATTTGAATTAACATATCGAGAAGTTTGTTCTTTGAGAATCAACATCTTTCGAATTTTCTAAATATATACGAATAAAAATCGTACGTCAAATATACCTCTTATTAATGTTGCTCTTGATGGCTTTAGCTTGGTGAATCCAAACGGACGATATACCGAGCTCCTCTTTCAGAAATTGCTCACGCTTGATATAATCCGGAATATCGTCTATTTCTATGTGACGTAACAACAGATCTTGCACGGCGGTTCGTCGTCTGGACGAGTCTCGCAAGTGCAACATTACGAAAATCGCCCAGTGCCACAGTCCGTGTGCCTCTAGCTGCGTCGCGAAATTCGTGTGCGTCAATGCGGCGACATGATCAGAGATATGTGTGTAACCCAGAGCTAAGAGTGTTTGTTGCATTAACCAACTGTTGAGAAAATTTAATGTGAATTAACTACCATACGGCCAAAGAGAAATCTCAAAGCATATTCGGTTAAATTATATATACATATATATGACGTGGTCGGTGCAGAGTTTACCTCAATCTGTAATCCAGGGGATTAGCGGTATAGGTCAGCGGATTTAAAAGCTGTCCCAGATCGTGATTTCCGGTACAGTATAATTTCAAAAGATGGAAGCACAGATCGTATATACGTTTGCCGTTGGTCAACTCGGCGTCGTAATCGTTCTCTTTGTATTTGGGTTCTGGTGCGGTTGCGTATACCTGATTCTCCGTCGTGTTAAACGCAGCCTCGTATAAATCCAATGCGTCTGTGATCGAGCACGTCGGCGGCGACAAGTACCACAAATGAATGGCGAAGGCTCGCTTCCAGTCGAGTTCCTCACACACGTTGATAGTCCCGTGTTTGCTGGAGATGAGCGGTTCGCCTGCCACAAGCATAAACAATTTCAACCGATCGATGGTAAGATACTCGTCCACGTTGGTCTCTTGCCACAATGCGAGTTGTCGCTTGATCAGTTCTTTGATCGGCATGCCGCTACGTAGCTGCGCCATCAGTAACGCCAGACAATGATCTCCGACCTTACGTGCTTCTTCACACGCGTCCTCTAGCTTGCAGGCGGAGAGCAATGACAATATTATCTTCTCGTGATAGTTCTTGGCTGCATCACTTATGTTTTTCTTGATTTCTTGCTCGACCGTCTTTTGCACCACATTTTTCAACCACTCGCCTATCGCTTCTCTTCTCATCATGACATTATAGTGTTCTTCGTTAGCGCCGTTTATCGTATCCTGATTGGGATAATGACCCCAAAGCGCGACGCAAAGCGTCCATACAGTACACGCGTACTGACGAAAAGATTGTTCTACGATATTGCGGTACGGTTGTTCGTCACTGAAGTCCTCGTTCAGTCTCTGGTCTTTCTCAGCGAAATCCTGAGCCAACGTGCAATGCAATTGCAACGCTTCGTTTGCGCTATCAGTGGCTACGTCGAAAGTAGGACAATCACCGTCGTGACCCATCACACAATGATCCAGCTGGATTCTCAGATGACGCTCTATGCTATCCGCGAATGTTTTCATGTCGTCTTCGTTGCCACCGAGGATTTGTAAACGCTGAACAATTGCCGTTGACGAGGTGTCGCCGGCAACGCGGCCGGAAATGTAATAACTCAGTTGACTGAACGTGTTCTGCAGTTGCATCTTGCTCGCTTGTTCCTGCGTGCTAAGTGACAGCAGTGTTAAACCAGCTCCCCAGCTCGGACGAAATGTCCTACCCATTTGTATGCCCGTGTCGGCGACGCAACGAAAGTTCAATTTGCTCAGTCTGGACTCTTTGAGCGGTACAACTTCGTAGTGATAATTAAGCACATTCGTGACGGGAGTGACCGCGGGTGCTACAATCACTCTATCGATACTCTGTTTCTTCTTTCTCACGTCGATATGCGACGGCGTGTGTAATTTCTTGCTCAATCCAAAGAGCGCACCTTCTTGGCTCGTGTGAAACGACACGTCGCTTGTGAAGTTAGATCGTAACGTTGTTACATTGTACGGAGCCTCGTTGTTCTTAACCTCGATAACATCCGGTAAATAGCGGGTTAAAGTTTTCTGCACAGTAGGAATTATATCGTGATCCATTTCCTCGTTCATCTCATCGTCATTCGTGTCGAAAAAGCTCGCTTTCATTAGTTGCAATTTGTGACTGTCGGTACCGGCAACACGGGCGTTATCCCCGACCGGGCTGCTGCCGGTCGTCTGTTTCTCGTAACTGTAGTCTTTGGAAGAGAAAGGAGAATGGCCGAGCGACATGTCTCTGGCTGGGCTGACGATCATATCTCGTTTCTCGAAACTGCCGTAAGAAAATCGAAGCTGAGTTTCTTCCGAGAAGTTGCTCTCGATATCCGGATGTTTGCCGTTTCTCAATGTTGCACCGCCAACGGTCCCGTTAACAGTCCCTCCGTTAATCGCATCCTTGTTCGCTGTCGTCAGCGGATCGACGGGTTTTCCCTTCTGCAGAGGTGCAGAAAACCCTTTGAGTTTTTTCGCTTCCGAGGCCGGTGGAACTTGATTGTCATCTTCGTCCGAATCGGTGAGACCGTATTTCGAAAAGTGATCGACCTTGAAGACCCACGATCCGGTCTCGGGTCGATATTCGAGAAAGCGGGTATCGTGCTTCGCGGATACTCTGCGCAATTTTCCTTCGTAGTTCATGGCGGCGAGCCGCTGCGGATCCGTGATCGGTTCGTGCAGCGACTTGTCATGCGGCCAAACTTTGTCCAACGTAACTTGCGCCTTCCGATTTAAGCCATGTCCAACCGGCGGTTTCTTCTCGTCGTCCGGATAAATAATTACTTCTTTGTGACGGAAATGGACTGTCACAACATCAAATACACAAATGAGATGTATAAACACATGTCGCGATGTCGCGCAGTTTAATTTGTGCATATGTCCAAGTGAAATTCAACTGATTGACATTTCTGATACGTAAACTTACCGATTTCGTCGAGATTCAAGCCGTAAATATCGAACGAGTCTGGGAAGTACACGTTGCCGTAACCCTCGCGGCCGACGGTGAAATTCGGTACAACGCAGGTCTCGCCACGAACGAACTCGTCCAGTTTGTCGAGCGACGGAATGGTGTAATAACCAGCTCGTCGTAGCGTGACTTTGGCCATGTTCGGTTGTAACAGTGAGAACGAATTTTCTTCCGCTTCCTGACTTGAATCTGAGGAAAGAAAAATAATCTTGAAAAAAAACAATCTCTTACCGCGCACACAATATAAATTGTCGCAATTGCAGATATAATTTTTACCTGCATTTGGCATTGTGAGATTTGCCGAGCTCTTATCGTCGTAAGTGGAATTCAATGGTATCTCGGTCGAATTAATCGTATCGGAATGATTCACGTTGTTGGACGAATTATTTTGCGGACTCAGTTCAGCCACCGTGTTGTTTATTTCTTCCGACACATTTTTTCCGGAAAATGGTGACTGCTGTCCCTCGAACACGTTATCGTCGAGAACCGTGTTTCTTCGTGGAAGTGACGATTTTAACCTGACCAACGCAAAATTCAAATACAAAAGCAGCTCGGACTTACATTTTCGTAATGTTTGTCTTAAAAAAAAAAAANAAAAAAAAAACAAACTTGTAAACTTACCAAGACGTGGATGACCGTCGATCGTTTGCAATTCGATTATTATCTTGGCTGTGATTTTCTTTATTATTAATTTCGATGCTAGTATTGTGTATTGCATTTGATGCGTCCGTTCTATCGTCGATACTGCCGTTTTTCACCACAGTCTCGTCGTTTTCCGCGGACTGAATGGAAGAATTTGTCGCCGATTTTGGTCGCAACACCAAACGTTTCGTGTTCGGCCGAGGTTGAAAAGCGTCTACCAAAACGGGATCCTCTTCTTCAAGACCGTCAAATAATGATTTCTAAAATGTACAGAAATGCGTTATTTAACATATGTAGACAAAAAAAAAAGAAAAAAAAAAACGGACCGCACGTGTGCGTGTGTGCATTATGTTAAACTTTACCTTAGATAGTTGTGCAGAACTGACGACTCTTGCCTTGATTTTTGGAGATTTAGTGTTGGCAGTAACTCTGTACTGCGGACTGTTCAGTACTTTCGACGTTGGATTTGTAGGTTTCAAGAGTTCCTCGGTCTTTCCGGATGCCTGTAAAAATTATCACAATAAGTTTCCATGTACGTCTCAACATGTAATACCTTAAAATACAGTAAAAACAATATTTACTGGCAAAAGATTCTTCAATAACGGTGAATCGCCAAATGGTGCAGAAACAAGAGCCAAGATATGTTGATGCACTGGCACTGAGCTGTTTGTTTTAGTTTGGTTTGATGCCATCCTGAAATGATCGTTAAAAAATAAACAATAATCATAAAAATCTTTTAAATAATCAGTGATGTGCATTAAGAGAGATATAAACGCCTTACCCTCCATTAAGTAAACCCATTCCTGTTCCAGACATTATGTTCGAGCTTGTGCCAAAAGTTGAAGATCCAAATGTTCCAGGATTGCTAAACGTTGTATTACCTCCGGTATTTCCAAATAGACTTCCTGGCTTTTGCTGTCCAAATAACGAAGTTCCACCACCCAAGCTCAAACCAGTGTTTGTACCTGCGCACGTTTACTCACTCAATGAAATCGAAGATAAACATGATAACTCTTGTATGCAAAACGCAGAAAATATAAATTTACGTTAATGATAAAATTTAATTGAACACTGAATGAAAAAAATAACTATACCGAGCCCGGTTGACGATGCGGGTGTAGTTCCGAAAGAAAATCCTGATGTTTGTCCAGCTGGTTTAAACGAAGAGTTAAATAATGAGGAACCCGTGTTGGAACCCGAATTGAAAGCTGTGTTAGTTCCAAATGTGGAAGGTGCTGCTGCACCAAATGTGGAAGTTGTTCCAAAACCGGCGGTAGTAGTTTTGTTGCCGAACAACGGTGCGGCGGTATTATTCGTAGCCGGTTGGCCGAAACCAGTAAATCCAGTACTAGCTGACGTCGATGGGATGTTAAAAGCAGACTTGTTCTGATTGAATAATCCAATGCTCTGATTGGGTTGCGTGGAGCCGAAGGCGGATCCAAAACCTGTATTCTGTCCGGTATTGATGCTACCGAAACCTGTGCCGGTAGTTTGATTGGTATTGCTCGTGCCGAAAAGTGGCGTCGGAGCTGCTGTTCCAAATGGTTTCGTTTGTGTATTAGTACCAAAAAGATTTGTAGTAGGTGTACTATTAAACGCAAAACTATTGGTTGTTGTAGTTGCTGGTGTTCCGAAATTAGTGATAGGTTTTCCAAACAGTCCCGTCGATCCTGACTGGCTGGTAGTGCCAAATCCACCGGTCATTGATCCAAAACCTTCAACAAACAAAAGAAGTTAAATCTTTCTTTTGCTTAAAATAATTGTACAATAATAAAAATTGCACAAATATTGTATGCTTGTGTGCAAATATTAATATTTATGTCATGATTTACCTGTGCCAGCTGTACTGGTACCAGCTGTTGTGCTACCAAACGGTGATGTCTGTGCCGGAGCTCCGAAAAGTCCCGTTTGCGGACCTAGAAGGAAAGAGAAGATATTAAGAAAAAACATCTTATTTTTTTGTAACAAAGTGTTGAATTAAAAAAGAAAAAAAACTACGTATGTACCTTTTCGGCCTACTTGATAATCTTCAAAACGTAATTCTTCATATGATTTTGATTCATATTCTTTCATAGCTGCAATACAGCAATGTCGCACAGAAATGCTATGTGATATTCCATTTTTTGACATAGAGTCAGTCGTAATAACAGGCGTGAATTTTACTACAGTACCAGTTGGTACGGTAGTAGTAGTGGTATTACCAAAACCTTTACATTAAACAAATCAAAGAATTACTAATTATGTCTATCAAATGATAATAGACAAATGCATTGTGCTTAACACAATGCACAGTCGATCGTATCCTCATTTTACCTGTAGTTGTGCCAAACAGATTTGTGTTTGTAGTAGTATTGGTCTGACCGAAAGGAGTAGTTTGTTGCGCATTTTGCTGTGGTTGTCCGAACAAATTAGTTCCAGATGTTGTTCCAAAGCTGAAACCGCCAGGTTTGTTTGCCTGACCAAATGCTGAAGTCCCAGTACTTGTGCCAAAGAGATTTGTGCCAGTATTTTGTTGAGTACCAAAAAGATTAGTACTCGTATTTGTTGTTCCAAAGCCTGTAACAATCATAAAAAAAAAAACATTCCATGATCACTCTGTAAAGATATACAAGAAAAAAAATGCTTTGTAGTTATACATATGCGAATACAAAATTCATAAATACCTCCAAAGGATGGTTGAGTAGTTGGCTGTCTAAATGCTGGTGGTGTTGCATTATTGCCAAACAAACCACCTGTGGTAGAACCTGTGGGTTTAGAACTAAAGAGCGATGTATTGCTACTACCAAATACAGGAGCTGCACCACTACCAAAACTTGTTGTAGTAATAGGTTTGCCAAATGCAGACTGAGCAAACGGACTGTTCTGTGTCGCTGTGTTAAATCCACCTAAAAAAGACGCATATCTCGATAAAATATTTGTCAAAGTCTCTTATTTCATTAAACATTATCTATATTTTTGTGATACATACTAAAGGATGTATTTCCAGTTTGACCAAACATAATGGAGTTAGGTCAGAATCTGTTCCGACAGGATTTCTGACTTATAACCTGAAATATAACAAAAAAAAAATGGTAAAATTACAATCTTGCGCAAAAAAATATATAACTGTGATATATTACTTATTTGTATATTGTGTAATAGAAGTATACTTCTTGATACAATTGTATAACATCAACAAACTTTGCTCACAAATTATTTAAGAATTATTTTTATAAATTCAATATCATTCTAAAAAAATTATTAAAGACAACAAAAAAGTTTATGAAACTTGATAAATATACAAAATGTCAGAAGTGTTAGTGAAATATTTAACGTGACGTTAAATCTAAAAAAGAAGGTTAGGCAAGTTTAGTTTCAAGTACGGAAAAAACCCACGTTCTTTTTCGAACAAATTCAATTCTTACACCTTGCAATTCGCGAAATATACCAAATTTAGCAACAATACGCTCTCGCATGTATGTCGGATATTTTTTCTTTAGATGTAGAGATAAGCGCGCGTAATGCGCACTTAGCTTTGGTTATGAACTAGTTCCGTCGAAGTCTCCTCCATTGTTGGAGAAAATTCATATCGTAAATTAGCAAATTACGTACTCGTACGCAATAAGCCAACAGTTTTCAACAAAGAAAAAATTTTTGAACTCTCACTCACCAAGTGTGTTGAACGATTTCTCTTCAATTCGCGCGCATTAGAAGCGCGATTTACTTTTTTCTCACCCTGATCCCACCAAATTTAACACAAAATAGCACGCAGTGTCTCAGGAAAATTGTGAAATGCGTAGAAACGGCACGCACCACCAGCCCAGGGGGCATCAGGAAGTTTGAGAAATGTAATTCAGGACATATACAGTCTTGGAAAAATATTTACCAATGGGTGCGGTCAATGTCTCGCTGCAAATGTTTCCAACTATCGTTCTATCTTTATTCCACATTTAACGAGAAATAAAGATAGAACGATGCTTCAAAACATTTGCGGTGTAGCTTTGACCGCACTCTATAGTCTTATGTTCTTAAGTCGAGTTTCTATAACGGGAACGAATCGTAAAATAAGAACCAGAGAAAAGACCGAGGGCGGCGTCCCATTGAGCCGCAGAAAAGGAAAAGAAAACGGAAAATGGTTCTGATTGGCTCACGCCTTGGGTTCCGTTCCGCCGTGTGGAATTTACCGCTCAATAGAACGTCGCCCTTAAAAAAGATCATTGGTTACGTTCAGAAACTCAACAGTTGCACACAACGGTTGAGAGATGGATCACTTACGATTGGATCATACTTTTCAAATCGATTTAGATTTTGAGGATTAGTCCTATCACAAGTGATCATTTCTGAACCGTTGTGCAACTGTTGAGTTTTCTGAACGTAATCATTTCAACACCCGTTTTCTCCATTTCCGATTAAACTTAATCGGCCGATTATTCCATTGGAATTGCCAGTCGCATTAATCGTTTAGCAAAATGGACCAATCACGACTGATTAAGTTAATCGGAGATGATGAAAACGGGTGTGAGTGTAGTTTGACGAATCATGTTGGCCGATTAACGGATTTAAAAGGTCTATTGACTTACACAGATTTATCTATATATACAATTTATTTATAAACAGCTTACTCCAAGTTGAGCAAAGTACAAAATGTTGCTTTCAAGATTATATCGTGTTGTTAACTACAGCAAAATTATATATCGAAGAACTATTTTATATAAAAGTTTTCGTCCGTTATATCAGGTATTAAAAATGTGTATATGTTTGTATATCTTCATAAATTATATATATATATATATATAAATATAAATTTTGTTTCAGCACAAAAATAATATACAATTTGGCAGAGATCTGTCAATAACATTTCCTTTATTTACTGTAATGGGAGTGTGGGGTTTTATAACACCTAAAAGTGAGGACAAAACAAATGGTGCAAAAGAAGTTCTTCTTGCCAGAGCTGATGCACTATTTGATCAAGGAGATTACATCACTGTGTACAATCTTTTATATAACCATAAAGTAATCAACTTTTTGTTTATCATGTATATATCATGTGTATGCATATTATGTACGCTTACATACATGTATATTACATAGGACAGCGAAGATGTTGAAATCTTGTGGCGTTTGTGCAGGGCCATTTATAAAATGTCTGAAACAGCTTCTGACGTTGAAGCAAAAAAGATGATTTATGAAGGATATGATTTGATATGTAAAGCCCTTGACATAAAAGAAGACCACTATGCCGTCCAAAAATGGATGTCTTTATTTCTTAACAGTAAAGGCACTCTTGAAGGCGTAAAAGCTCATACAAAAGAATTGTACAATATTAAAAAACATTTGATGGTAAGGTATTTCGTAAATAATTAATTTTACCTAATATTGTATAATCTTGTAAAAATGTCAAAAATATTACATTTTGAAAAGTGATGTAAAAAATAATGTAACAGACATAAAAGATTTGATTATTTTGTGATTCTCTGTTATTGTAGAGATCAACAGAATTAAACCCGAATGACGCAACAACACTTTACATGCTCGGATGCTGGTGTTATGAGATTACGAATCTACCATGGTATCAGCGAAAAATAGCTTCTGTTATATTTCAAGAACCGCCAACTTCGACGTTTGAAGAAGCATTAACTTACTATAAAAATGCTGAGAAAGTTGATCCGAATTTTTACAGTCGCAACCTATTAATGTTAGGAAAAACATATCTGAAATTAAATCGTAAAGCGGAAGCTATAGAATACTTAAAAAAAGCTGCTGAGTTTCCTGCAAAAAATGACGATGATCAGCAAGCAAAGCAAGAAGCGCAGAAAATATTGAACAGTATTTAAAAACTAAAAAGTATGAAAGATATATATTGTGCACGAAAAAATACGAAAATTTATAAACGTGATTTTGAAGTTTGAACTATGGAACACTCAAGGTGGCAAACATCACGGGGCAATAAAAAAACAAACACTTTTTCTCGTATAATCTACTGTACTGCATGATTAAGACTGGTATTCAAATCTTATGTTTAAATCATTTTAAATTGATCTTCCGATGTTCTGCAACCAATAAAACAACTCCATCTCTGAAGATAAACTTAAAACGATTTTAAATAAAAAACTGGATTATGAATATTGGTCTAAGCAAGGTTTTGCTATGTATTTAACATTTTATTGAACATTGTATGTGTTTCATACATAGATTAGATGTGTTTAGAATCCACATCTACTTGTATATATATATATATATATTCATAGAGCACAAAAAAATTGAATATTTTTCTAAAAAAATTTTTTATCTTTTATAAATTATATATTTGTCTCTAATAAAAATTATAAAACTTTACACATACTTGTACATTACACTTTGCATTTTATCCAAATATTGATTTAAGGAACTCTGTTCTGTCTTCTTGTGTTTGGGCTTTTCTACTTCTTATTTCACCATCAGTATCTCTCTGCTTAACTTCAGGTAACGTGAACGACACCTCTCCTCCTTGTTCTTGTTTCTTGCGCAATTTTTTACTTCTATCTACATTATGGGAGAAGAAGTTGACTTCTCTCTTAGCTTGTGCTATTTCAGTCAAAAGTCTTTGTTTGTGAACCGCACGTTCATATGCCAAGCGTTCGCACAAGTGAACCCACTTAAACCTGGAAGAGAAAACCAAAAAAACAATAATAATAATTATTAGTTTCATAGGAAGAGACATGTGTATGGCCCAGTAAACATATAAAATCAATTATTCATTACCTAGGCAAGTACTTTATGTTCCATATGACATCGTAGAATTTACTTTTCTTTCTTGTGGATATCTGAGTGTTATTTACTGTTCGAGCCACAAATTTTGCTACCTTTTTTTTCTTAAATTCCACCCAACCTTCCGAAAAATGTTTGATTGCTTTCTTGTGTTTCTTTGTGCCTTTCATTGACTGTGGATCTAAGAAAAAAAGTTTGCAAGTTTAAATAAAATATATACGAACTATATATGTATAAAAAAAAAAAAAACTGACATGTAACATTTATAGCGTGAGACCAACTTACTTTCGTCTAGCTGCAAATACACTCTGTCCACTTCTCCGTAAGCGGAAAATATCTCCCGAATCATTGTAACGTTCATATATTTCGGAATTGTGGACAGGTATATTATTCCTCTCTTAGCCTTTTTGTCACGATTTACTACTTTGTCCGTTTTGATCACTTTTTCTGAATCTTCATTCATTTTATTTCTAGATTATTAATTGCGGTTAGAATTACACAGTAACGTATCTCTGCTGTTCTGTTGCTAACACGTGCAAAATCCTTAGTTTCGTATCAATTCGGATGTGTTCGGTCGCAGTCGCGTCTAGTCTAGCTGAAGTCAGTGTTGCCAGATTGAAGGGTAACGAACAATCAACCACTACAGATGCGATGTGGTATCAGTGAAGGGTCGGAACTAGCCGATTGGCTCGACGTAGCGAATATCTGCGTGTGTGGTGGTCGATCTTTCCTCGATCTTGCAGCAGGTCGCAGCAGATCTGGCGTGATCTGGCAACTCTAGCGGTTGCATCTCGTTATGTTTTTTCCTTGTTATCGCTAATCTTCATCCTTTCAGTCTTTGCTGAAAACAAAACAACGTGGATTCTTACGATAGTCGACGTCAGTTTTGTAAGTACTTCAACGATTAACTGTTAAACTGTTAAAGTGTATAAAAGCTTTACTTTTTTTTGTATTTTTTTAACGTATATAATATACACATGTGTATTTTGTTTCCATGTGTGTCAAAATCTGCATATATTATTGTTTTGATTTTCGAATCAATCGTAATAACAAAAGATGCAAATAAATGCATGGTAATTAAACAACGAAGAATAAACCAAACTGCAAATTGTAAGGGTATTTTTTCTTCTAGTTGTCTGTCAACGATCTATCATTTTTTTAAACTGGCAACCGAGAAAGATGGATCAGTGTCAATCGCAAGAATCAAATCCACCAAGTGAGGATTTGCTAAGTGTGAATCTACCAAACGAAGATTCGCTAAGTGTAAATTCACCAAGTGAAGATCCGCTAAGTATAAATCCATCAAGCGAAGATCCACTAAGTATAAATCTATCAAGTGAGGATCTACTGAGTGTAAACAACCCACCAAGCGAAAACGTCACCAAGGACAACAACGTTGAAAAGGTTCCGATCAAAAAGCGTAGGAAGTTTCAAGTTTCTTGGCTAAATCTGCACCAATGCAGAGGATGGTTAAGATCGCATGAAGATGGTCAGAGAGCTTATTGCACATTGTGCGAGGTCAGTTTGACATGTAGCAAATCGGAACTGATCAAACACGCAAATCGACGATACCACGTCAACAATGTTATTCTGGTTAAAAAGAAAGAAAGCGATTCGAGATCTCCGTCATCGTCGTTGCTCATAAGTGAGGATTACGTGCTGTCTAAGAACCATACTGCAAATGTTAAGAACGTCGAGGAAAAATTATCAGCCTTTTTTGCGGAACACAACGTGCCGTTGGATGCGATTGATCACTTCGTTCCTTTAATGAAGGACATTTTTTCCGATTCGATAATTGCGAGAGACGTTAGACTGTCTCGAACCAAGTGCACGGACATTGTAAAAAATATCGGTAAAAACAAAACCGCGACATTGGTTACATTTTTACGAGATCAAAGATTCTCCGTTCTGCTGGGTGCTGAAATCTCTGGTGCCAGCAACAAACGATTCTTTCCCATTATCGTGAGATACTTGTCACCGGTTACGAAAAAATGTGCTACGGAATTGTTGGAATTGGTTGAATTGGATTTTTCGGAAATTTGTCACGGAGAGACGATTTTCGCGAAATTTAAAACTTGTTTTGTAAAGCACGAAATATCGTTGCGAAATATTGTCAGTATGATATTTTGCGACGATACGTCCGCGGAGAGTAGAAACTTATTTATGAGCAAACTCAAGGAAGAGGTGCCGACTATTGTGGTACTGAACGGTATCAGTCATTCATTTGGTGAGATTGTAAAGAAAGCGATTTCAAAATTGCCGTATTCAATCGTGACTATTCTAAACTCCATCAGCAGTTACATCACCAATGCGCAAAAAGCAGTGCAAAAACACCAGGTCAGCAGTGAAATTGATTCCGCGCCGCTCAACATCGTCGAACAGTCGCGTGCTACGTGCGAATCTTTCGATCCTGAATCGTGGAAAAATTTAAAACTAACTGAGACGAAATGGCACGTTTTGCACAAATACGTCGTTAAGATTCTCGATAATTGGGAATTGTTGAGAAATTACTTCTACACGGAAAGCGAGGGAAAGAAGAGCAAATCGGCCAAACTTATTCTCGACATGTTGAATAACGACAAGTGTAAGGCTTACGTATTGTTTTTAAAATACATATTGATCTTCTTCGATAGATTTCACGCGTTGTTGCAAACGCAAAAAATTGTAATTCACAAATTGGCCAAGAGTTGCGAACAATTGATAAAGCAAGTTGGTTGCAATTTCATGTTACCCGTTGCCATGAACAACATCACGTCGAACAATGTAATTGCGGAAAATTTTTTACCCGTTGACGAACTCTACGTAGGTCCCGAATGTAATTTGTTTTTAGAGAACAAACCGTTCGAATACAGAAATGAGATTAAATCCACATGTTTGAGTTTTTACGTTGCGGCTATGGAAGATATGACGACAAAATTGCCGCACAACGATCCATTTTTGCGCGAATTAAATTTTCTGAGTTCGAACGTGGCGTTGAGCTACAAAAGCAGATGGATGATTCGGGATCTGAGAGAAATCGCTTCGCGTTTCGGCGAAGATTTCGACATGTCGAAATTGGAGTTCGAATGGGTGAGTTTGTCGACTGAATTCGACAACGAGAGCAAAGACGTTCTGGCCGGATTGGAAGTGGACGATATGTGGAGAAAAATTTTCGCGAGAAAAGATTTCAACGACGAGCCCAAATTTTCGCAGTTGGAAAAATTAGTCGACATAGCATTTACGATTCCGCATTCCGACGCTTACATGGAGAGAATATATTCTCTCATCATGGAGATAAAGAATGAAAAGAGAAACCGTTTTAGCGTCGAGACTCTCAACGCTCTGTGCAAAATAAGATCGTATTATCAAGAACAAAATGTAAATTGCCAAAATTTAGATAGCGCGCAAGAGGAAGATCAGAATCATTCTCTGTTGTTGTAAAGAAATTTTGTGAGAAAAAGAAACGTGCCTCTATATCGAGAAAAATCATTTAAATTTAATAATTTATATATTTTTTTTTTTTTTACTATTAAAAACACATGTGTCCTAAAGAGAAATAAAAAGAACAAAAGGAGTTGGATTGATGAGATATCTATTGCGCGTGGACGTACACACGTACGTACGTACGTACGTACACGTATAGTCTGTTCTACATTGATCGCAAGCGCAAACGCAAGGAACAGGTCTGGTAGAATTGACTAATTGTATTGATCAAATCAGCTAATTGACCAGCGTGATTGGTCAATTCTACGAGATCTATACCTTGCGTTTGCGCTTGCGATCAATGTAGAACGGGCTTATAGTGGAGACAAAAATGCGTTAAATTTATATAAGATATGTACTTATATACTACAATATTAAAGTTTATATTAATATTACTATTTAGTTATAAAAACACACGTAAACTCGAAGTAAAGATATTGATTAGCGTTTTCGATCGGTACGAGTGTTGAATTTTTTCCGAGAATGAATATACAATTGATCCGTTTGTCAAATTAATGTTACTGATCGCTCCGAAAATTCAATTGGCACCAGTTCGAAAACGCTACACGTAATTCTAAAGATCAGTTGGTTTTTTGTTAATATAATTTTCTAAGAAGACAAATAAATATTTTATGATACTTGTACGTGTGTTAAATCATTTTGTGTTTCATCTCATCTATGTGTACTTTTATTCTCACGTGTATTCCATATATCTTTGACGTATATCTCTGTTGTTTAAAAAATTTTTAATGAATTACTGCTGAAGCTTCTTACGACCAGTTCGATAGAGTCTAATTGATTTTAATCGACGATTAATCAGCAGATTCGAACTTTTTCGTATTGTATATGTAGTAAATACAAAAAAAAAAAAAATCGACAAACATATAGGGTAAAAGACCCAATTACTGTCACCTGAATGATAAAAATGATAAACTCTGGCGTTAGTGAATTGTTTTTACTATTTATTTATCAAAAACATGTGTTTTTCTTTTTATCTGGTATTATTCAATGTCTCTAATATAAGAAAACAAAATAATACGTCTCTCAAAATTTCTATTTTTATTTATAAATTTAATAATTAAAAAAGAACGATGCGAGAGAGCTGTTACCGTCACGCCTAAATTAAAAGAAACGAGACAAGAATGTTGAGTGCTGGATTTTTTATTATATTAATTGCACTTAAAATCCCATGTTATAGATTTTTTTTATGCATAACTTTTTAAGATTTATTTAATATTTTAAATAAAATAGCTTAGGGTGACGGTAATTGGGTCTTTTTTACCCTATTAGTCCCGTTAAAACTCGACTTTAAAATTCGTATCGCACTAAAGATTGCGTGATTAGACTGGTTCTCGATCAATCAGAATGAAGAAAACCAATCTCGAGTTTGATAAAACTGTGCTCGGATTGGTCAAGTTCCAATGCGCGATCGCAATCCGAATCTGTGATACGTGGCTAAAGGTGTCACCAGGTGACCGCACAATTGAACAGTACTACTATGTAGACCGATTGTTTTGTTGAACAATACATGTACCGGATACGTATTGTCGCATATTGCCGTGAAGTGTCAATTGTGTAACGGTGTTGTTTGTTTACACGTGCGATTTACATTTGGTAAATATATGAGCGTAAAAAGAAGCATGTTTCAAAAAAAACTTACATGTGAACTTTTTGAACAGTTACTGGTTTAGGTTTCCTTTGAATTTGTTTGTAAATCGTGTGGTTTTTATATGTCATTTTTTTTTTTATCTCAGATTCGACAGACAGTGTCGGAGTAATGTGACAAAAATAGTCCTTTTTTTCTCGACATAACCTATACTTTGTTAATTTTTTGTAGAAACAGTATATTAAAAACACTCACGAAAGAGTGTTAAAAACACGTTAAATTCGCTATAAAGTTTTTTTTTCACTATTTTTTAACTTACACTACCGCTTATTTACTGTTGACTGTGATGACATACAGAGTATATGCCACATATTAATTAAAGAATATCAGTACTCTCGTGTTTTTTAAGAAAATAGTAGTTTTTTTTGTTTTGTTTACATCTGATCCTTACGCATACTCGCAACAATTTTAAGTTATGTTAGTCAGATAGCAGAGTATAACAGGGATTGTACATTTGTTGTTCAAGCACAGAATGTGTAGGTTCTGTTAGTCTTTGTAGATCTAAAACAAGTTGCGCAAAAGTGGGTCTGTTTTGTGATACTGTGTCCCAACAAGAGCACATAATTTCATATATATCATGAGAAACAGTATCGGGACAGGCCAAGCGACATTTGTCCTGAATTAAATAATGCATTAACTCGTCATCTGGTATGGTGGCGTATGGAAAAGATCCTAAAGTTCCGATTTCCCAGAGAACAACACCAAATGACCACACGTCGCTTTTGGTAGAAAAAGCATAATCACGCACCGCTTCTGGTGACATCCAACGTAACGGGAGGCGACGAACTTTGCTCATGTTATTGTTTATTACATACGCTCCATTTCGTGATAAACCAAAGTCAGAAATCTAAGTGTACATAAAATCTTGTTGCAATATTTACATTGAAATCACAATTCTTAGAGTACATAATATGGCAAGTAGCTATTATATACCTTTAGTGTTAAATCTGAAGTGAGAAGAATGTTTCTTGCTGCCAAATCTCTATGCGTGATTTTTGCAGCTTCTAAATGTTCCATTCCTCTTGCAATATCAAGCGCAAACAGTAAAAATTGTTGCTTTTCGACTATGCTACATAAATTCCCATCTCTATTTCTATCTTTGCCAATGATATTTGCATATCTAGAGGCAATTCTTTCAAAAGTGCACAAAATTACATTGTCACATTCAATATTTCTTCTGGAGTGCAAATATGCAAGCAAATCTCCCCCTTTCATATATTCTAAAAGTATGCATACAGGAGTATCTGGTGAAGTGCAGCAACCTATGAAGCTCACTAAATTTGGATGAGAACCAGCTGTTTTCATCATTTTAATTTCTTCTAATAATTGATACCTCGCTTCAGGTTCGTCATACACATCTTGACATTGAGACATCTTAACAGCTACCAACGTATCTTTGTTATTATTCAAGGAGCCCAAGTATACCGTACCAAACTGTCCTCTTCCTAATTCACAAATCAAATTTATGCATTCATGTGATACTTCAAATTTGTCAGTTTGTGTCTTGCTGCAGTGAGCTTCCTGTGTTATAAGACTTGTGATTATATTTAAAATTGTTTTTTTTTGTTTTGTTTTGTTTTTGATATTCATCTTTTTCTACTTACTTCGGATTGTTGTTCTTTATATAAACTAATGTTGAATTTCTGATGCCCGAGATGTGGCCACTGACTCAACTTAAATGCAAACTCAGACATATTTTGTTTTCTAATAAAACAATGCAGATTTTTAGTATAGGTCCACTATTGATACATATGTTGTAAGTCAAAAATATTTCGACACCACTTTACCTTAAAGGGAAATAGGTTTGCCAGCGATGTTTATTTTTCTTATGTACTGACATAATAATGATAAATCCTAGTATAACACAAATAATGACACCAGTAAGCAGAAAGTACTACAAGAACATTTATATAAGTTATTTTTGTGCCACACACATTTTGAACTTATGAATTGTTGTGCAAATAAAAAAAAAATACATACTATAATATTTCTATGTAATGTGGTAGTTTTGTTTATATTGACAGTGACGCCACCTCGTGTTCCTGAACAACCTCGATGATCCACCGCTGCCACAAATATTTTGTATCCAGTTTTAATATCGACATACTCATCATCAATTCTTGAATTCCAAATAAAGGTGTTTGTTGTAGAAGTTACGTTAGTTATCCTGGTAATATTGTACACAGGATGACCCGCGTTTGAAATCAAAAATGGCATGCCAATACTAGAAAGAGAAACAATATTATATATATAAATCGAAATATCTTGTGCAAATAGGAAAATAATCAAGAATATAATTTGTGCAATAAGCAAAGGGAAAAGAGATTTCACCTGATCACGTAAGACTGAATATAAGAACTGTACGACGTGACATTCCAATTTACAATTATATCTTCTTCCACCTGAGTCACTTCCACCTCCGGAACAGGCAAATTGAGTTTCGCAGCTACACAGCTGCATTTACGCTCTACACATTCGGGAACTGTGTAGATGACCTGTGTAATGAAAAACATTCGGAAAATGTGACGTCTTTCATCCACGAGATTGATTTTTCCTACGTACATGTTTGTTATCAAACAAACTCTTACCTCTGGTAACTGTCCTGCGGGTTTAGCTCTTGGATTAGCGTGTACTTGTATTCTGTATGTGCAATTCGGATGTATTTGTATTTCCGATATGCTGTTCAATGCTTTATTTTGCGGCACCAATAGACTGAACGGGCTTTTATTCGGCACACTATAAAATCCAGAACCTTCTGTACATTCTTCCCTTGTGTCGTCTTCTCTTGAAATACTTGTGACTATGACACTGCAATTGCATAAACATATGAAATTTCGTATTCAATTTTTACGATACGCACACACAAATTTCCATCTTATAAATATATAAATATAAATATAAATTCCTTCTTATAAATATAGCAACACATTTATAGATATATATATATATAAAACAATGAGAAGTTATTTTATTTTAATTTTAGTTCACCTGTACGAAGACGGTTCTTTTCCTTCTTTTGGCGGTATCCAAGATATATTCAATCTCAGTGACTTCAACGCACCACGATCATTTCCGTAACTTTCGTCTTTTAAAGCGTGCACTGTAATATTTTCTACAATACCAGCGTATTTCATCACGTTTGTATTCGCATTTGTATTGTTTGTATTCACGGCACATGTTGTCTCGGAATATAAAAGCAATATAATAATTATATCGTGTGTAAAGATCCACTTTGTGAACATTTCATTTTTTGTATAATATGACCGATATGTATATATATGTGTATAATTTTTATTGCATATATTATATAGTTTCTATCGTTTATCTCGAGCAATATCCATTGATACTGAAGTGTTTATCAGCCACGACAAAGTTCGCAAGCTAGTATAAAATATCTTATCTGATAATCCACCACCATTAAATACATGTCACGCTTTTGTACTGATAAGGTGTCGAACGTTTTATTTACGATTCTTTTAAACCAATACATTCATATACGTTTTTACATATAAAATACAAATATCTCGCATTACGTTATTCAATGTGTTTGATAACTCCTACAAATGTGTTTACTTGTATTTAAGAATAATATTTTTCTTTATGTTCAAGTAATGAAATCCAGATGACATTATAGATTTGCATTCTTAATAGATACAATGAATGAATGATGCGCATACATATCATGTTTAAAAACATTTTCATAATATGTTACGTGATGTTCCAGGGACCCAATGGCCTCGGCTGCAATGTCGCCGACTGACGACGACGAGCTTACTCTCCCACGTGCCTCGATTAACAAGATGATCAAGGAAATTTTGCCTCACGTGCGAGTCGCGAACGAGTCCAGAGAGCTCATCTTGAACTGCTGCACGGAATTCATTCATTTGCTTTCTTCCGAAGCAAATGAAATCTGCAATCAACAACAGAAAAAGACTATAAATGCGGAACATGTTCTGCAAGCGCTCGAAAAACTAGGTTTCGGCGATTACAGCGCGGAAGCGGAAGCTGTATTACGGGATTGCAAGGCGGTGGCGGCCAAGAGAAGACGTCAAAGTACCAGATTGGAAAATTTAGGCATTCCGGAAGAGGAATTGCTGCGACAACAGCAAGAGCTATTTGCCAAAGCGAGAGAAGAACAAGCGGTCGCGGAACAGCAGCAATGGCAACAATTGCAAGCTGTCACACAAATGGCATCCATGCAACAAGCTGATAGTGAACAGGAAGATTATTCGTAAACGATCTCTAAAGACGATAAAACTTATGAAATATTATGTTTGGCGATTTTCTCTTTAATAAAATAAAACAGCTATTTTTATTATTTCCAGCTATTTATTATTTCACGTGAAATAAAAATTGGAAATTTATAAAAAATTTAGAAATAAGAATAGTAACTAAAATTATTAAATGCAAAAGCAAAACTTGTGTTAAAAATGTGAAGTTAAAGATTATTTCCAAAAGTACATAAGAAACATTGTTGTAAAATACCGTAGAAATAGTTTGCAATTGTTTAAACAACTATCATAGTATATATATATATGTATATACTATAATAGTTGCGGATTATAAATTGAACATCATGAACACTTGTTGCATTGTTCTAATTTTATACGATATTTACGTATTTTGTAATAAACATCTTATAATTTAAACACAGTGACATAAGTTTAGAATAAAATTTATACCTCTATTTCCCTCCATTTTTGTGCTCTTGAATTTTAAGGCATTAATCTACCATAGTCAGATGATAGATGACTCTTTTTTATTGCCTCCATAACTTTCGAAACGTAATGAAACCTGCCGATTAGCACATTATTTTACATTCATACGTATTCGTCTTAAACGAGAGGAATAATGTATGCTTGATTTACCAGCTCTTTTCCGTTAATACTGATGGCGTCATGGGATTTCTAGTAACTCCATATATCTTCGTTCGCAGCTTGTCTATGAGGGATTTTTCACTTTCGTAAAAAATTTTTTCTTCTGCAAAAAACATTCATACGAACGATATTATATACTTTATAATCAGATTTTTTGTATATTTGTGATACAGCTTTCCTTTACCGTCATTAGTCCTCGAAGGTATTAAAAATAAATTTAGACCACTTTCTGTTGAACAATTACCCATATTTATACCGCTGTGAGTTTGGAGTTTAGAAGTGGAAAATAATTTATCATAAAATTTCTGAAAAAAGAAAATTTTAATTTCAATAAATATTTTCTCTTTGTTTATTTGCAAGCAAAAGCGAGAGAATAATATAAAAAATTAAGTTTACTTGGGACCAAATTGAAGAAGGTAAAAAACAAGTACCTTTATTTTGTCAATCGTATCGGGCTTAAAATCTTGCAATTCTGCCTTATTATGCAAAAATACAAGATGTGGATAATACTCCACATATTCTTGATCCATAATTGTTGTTGAAGATGGTTTTAACATTTCTGCTGTTTGCAAAAATCTATATAAAAAAAAAATAAAAAGATAGTTGTTTATTGCAAGCTTCTTGTGAGTAGATAAAATATTAATTCATTATAACAAGTCTTCTAATCTCTTTTTGGGTATTATAACTACCTCAGCAAATTTGGATCAACAAACCAATCCTGCACAAATAAAATTACATGACACACTGAAAACAGGAATGCTGCAAATTGCAATGACTGTAACTCCAAGTTGAACTCAGTATTCACAAAATCCACTGAAGCTTTTTTCTGATCAAAAGATGCAGAGTAGTCAATTAGAGATCCAGAAAAAATTGGCTGAGTGTCCAGATATATAACTCTATTTTTAGTCACAAAAAAATCTATTCCATTAGTACAGTTTGTCCCATTTTCAAAATTAGACAAATTCTGAACTTGAAAAATGTCAGGCCTAATAGTAAGAGAAATTAAAATTGTAATATAAAAAAAAATTAATAAGTAATAATTAGAAATAGAAGAAATACATACATGTAATTTGATGTTAACAATGACATAATTGTTGATTTGCCAACACCTTGTGTACCTAAACAACCAACAACTAAAAAGTCTTGTTGATCATGCAGGTAATCTATCGGATTCTCAATAAGTTGCATAGTTTTGTCCATAAGTTTAGTACAAGCAGTCATTTCAGGACATGTAGAAAGCGAACGAATTGCTGAAATGTATTTTATGTATTTATAAAAAAAATGTTATATTACATATTATTATGCTGTTATTAACACAAACAATTTATAAACATCTTAAAGGATATATTATGTATTACTATTATTTTATTTTATACATTTATACAGTTTACTTACACTCTTGTATCTTTGTTGATGTTCCTGAAGATATCTCAGCATCTTTCCTAAAAAAATTCCTGAATTATATTATTTTTTAAGTTTTAAGTTTTAATTAACTACATTAATAATTAAGAAGAATATTGTTTAAAATTGATATAAGAGAATTTTTTAATTTGCAAAGTACTTTTATATCAACCTGCAATGAGTTTTTTTTACAGTATTTGAAATATATTTATTTATATATTAAGAACAACTACTATTTCCACAAATCAACTAACTTTTCTTGTAATTATTGTAATAAGAACAACAGAGTATCAATATAATTTATTATATATACTATATATTGAATGAGTGAGTGCGAAAGGTTTGATAGATTTTATGATAAAAAAAATGGATCAATTGTGTTAAAAAACTGATTTATTGTGTATATTGTGTGTGTGTGCTATAAAATTAGATCGAGATATCTTTGAGAAATTCATTGAAATTTGTGTGCTTTCACTACAAAAAAAAGAAAAAAATATATATAATATTAATTAATAAAACAAATTATATTTACTTATTCCCATTTCGTTGGCTAGGGGATATGGCTCTGCTTTCTCCTTCTCTTGTTTTTAATATAAATGTTGGTCGCTCTACAATCTTAAGAGTTCTATTTTCTTCTTTAAAATCCGAATCTTTTGATGTTGATAACATGTTGATCACATTAATATGTATACACAACAACACTATACTACTACGCAAATGATTGTAATAAGTAGTAATAACTCAATGAAGAATTAACAAAAACATTCGATTATACATTCGCTGCTTTTTTTTTGTCGTTACGTCTTTCAACCGTCTGTCGCGAGTTTTGGAGCACCAGTCCTCTCCTTGTAACTGGCACAGTCCCTCTCTTTTTTGATTTCTCCTCTAGAATACATTGGCTACGTTCAGCAAAACAAACTAATTTGTAGCAATCGAATTGATGATTGGCTCTTACTCTTAGAACCAACGAATCAATATCGAGTTTTGACAAGACAACAACTCAGCAAATGTTGAACCTGCTGAACGCGGCCATTATGTGAGGATTGAATAAGAATCAGCTGATCGACGCACGCATGCGCACACATGTATAGTGTATATAGTGTATATAAATTCACATGAATGAGTTCTACGAAAAAGAGAGAGAAATATCTCCCTTCTCATTCTTTATAAAAACAGACAAGTATTCATAATCCGCAAATTTTATTATTTCAAGCTCGTTTTAAGTTCACCTTCGGATAGAACTCTAGCTAATAAGACGAACGGGTTTTTAAGATAAATTTAAAAGGCGATCTTAAATATAAAATCGGATTAATGAATACATGTCCTATGGTGTTTTTTTCCAATAAGTGACATTGATACAGTGTCACGTGACAAATTATTATAAAAGCTCCAATAGTAATTCTAGTAATTTACTCAATCACGCGACACCGTTCAATCGGTAATTTGCTGATAAAAACAACCGACTTATTTATACATACGGATATATGGTACACAGCGCGTCACTGAATCATCGCGGAATAGGCGCGGGGATCGGAGAGGCCGTACGATTCGTACGGCGCTTGTTGGCGAGCAACCGCCCCGCTTGCCTTCCGATCCCGCGATTGAATATGACGCGTTGTGTACGTAGTTCTTACTATTCTCTATAGTATACAGTACTTTTTTCTCTTATCTCTACACACATTTTATTAATATATATATTTACAAATCCACATTAAGATATATTTACAAATTATGTACTCGTAGAGACAGATATACTCGTGCACATGTACACGTCTATGTGTGTACGTACTTAAAACAAGATTAAAAACCATTTTCACATTATAATGTGAAAAAATGAGTATTGAATTGTTTATTTTCAGAAGGAGAGAAACATTTATAGTATCAATTGTTAAAAAAAAAAAAAAAAATCACAGTTTCAATGATTTCGAGATTATCGATATGTTTATAAGCACATAATAAATGCATGTTCACAACAAATGTGAGATAAAACAAAAATCATTTTTTGTATCTTAAAAAATGTCTTGAAAGGGAAAGTGAGCCTTATCCGGCATGATAAGATCGGCGAGGAAGCAAGCGGTGCCGGCGAGTCCCTCGTAGAGCGAATAGGGCGAGTCGGGCGTGCGCGCCTCACTTTGAAATTGCGACGAGTTCATGAAGTCTGCGAATTTGGCGGCTCGATAAAGATAGCGCATATTATTGGTGAGTCTGTACAGAAGAAGAAAGACGTAGCCGTTGCCGGCCACGCCATGACAAATCCCAGGTCCTTTACGAAGAAGACCCTTACGCCAAACAAGATCGCCGGCGCGTTTGCACGAGTCCAAATAACGCTGATCCTTCCAGCGCAGATACGCAGCGGCCATCATGTAGATTACACCGGGCGCACCGTGACACCAGTGCACCAACTCGTCGTCGCTCTCTCTGAAGCTTCGTCCAGAAAGATCGATCTCGTCTACGGCACAGGGGAAGTTGCCGGATATTGTTTGCACACTCAAAAAATAATCCACGCACGCCCGCACGGTGCTGTCCATATCAGTGTCGCTGTCGAGGAACGATGGCAGCTGTGAAAAATTCAGAGAAAAGTGATAAAATAAAATGCATCAACAACTGATCAATTAATTATTTTAATTTACACTGCGTAAATAGATTTTCCGGGACATACCTGTATGAGGACTTGCAGAATGGAGCAAAGTCCGTGCGCCGCGCCAAGATATTCTGTGCCGTAGTACGCGTACATCAGCGGACACGGACTGTTGTGCACCCGTGCGTACGTTTTGCCAGAAGTAACAATTGTTCGAGCAATCTCGCACATTGTTTCAATTGGCACAACAGTCTTTTTTATCTTGCGATTCAGCCACATCGCGCCGTACAAATAGCCAGCACGGCCCACGAAGAACTCATCCGAGCCGCATTTCAAGAAATTTACTTCCTTGCAACGCATTCCCGTCGTTATGAAACGTTTCACTAGATCATTGGCGGTCTTTTCATCATTTTGAACAGTTGCAAGAACCGCACCAATCGCCAGAATACCCCAATCACCTGTTTATAATTAAATCAATAATTGTGGGAGTCAAAAAACAAATGCAATCTCTAATATTATGTACCTTATGTTTTCTATATCTGTAACAGAAAACATAAAAGACTATATACACACTATAAAGTAATAATGAATTAAAAATAATTTTGTACAATAATAACTCTTTGTCGACTGACTTCCAAAACAGCTTACTATATAGTTGACTGGGTCTCTGTGAGTGCAACTTTAAAATCAAATATTTCTGTAAAAAATCAATATTAAAAAAATTTTTTTTTTAAATCAAAAGTTTGAGAAATTATGTGATAAAAAAAAACAAATTGAAATCTCTGATAGTTTCAAAGATATATAAGCGTTAAAAAAAAAAAAAAAACTAATTTTTACTAGAGATACCGATTTGAAATTTGTCGAGTGAGTCTGGAGCTGCGTTCGAAGACCACGCTATCAGCGCGTCATTCTATCTTTGTTTTTACATTTTTATCTAATGAGCGATAAAGATAGAATCATATAACAGCGCTGATAGCGCGCTTCCCGAACGCACCTTAGAAGATCCACATCTTGTCCACGGAGGAATAATATTGTCCGTGACAAAAAATTCATATTTATTACACTGATATTTATCAACTTCCTCTCGCGCTCTTCAATTTTTCCTCATGCCGTTAATTTTTCACGTACACTGCGATGTATTAATGTCTTTCGCCAAAAATTTACGCCGTATAGAAAAGGAAGTCTCCCTCCCGCCCGGTCGTGTTTTTCCCCATCGGGAGACACATCTGTACGTCACACAGTGTACGTCCAGAAGATATATACGTATAAAATAAACAAACCCAGAAGAAATCCGGTGCCGGAGCGGCGTTGCGTGTCCGTCACAGATGACTTGAGATAATTATCGGCTAACGAGAGGAGTTTAAACTTATCGACCTCGTTGTTCAACACGTCAGCTTGTTCGGCGAGCCGCAAAAACATGTAAGATATTCCGGACGCGCCGACGTACAGACCGCCATCGACTTCTGCTCGTTCGGGCGGTTCCTTGTCGAGAATGCGTTGAAGTATTTTCTGTATGCTTCTCTTGGCGGCAATCTGACTGTCGTAGATGATACTTTTTGTCGTATCCGCGTTGTTGACAATTTCTTCCTCACGTAAACAATATTCGTTTACGAAGTATCTGGACCGCGACATTGCGAAAGTTTTCCGGAACGTTTTTGACGACAATCTCGACCAAAGGATCTTGGGATTCACCGTGAAAAGTGTCGTCGAACCGATCGGGTTCTGTGTCGCATACGCGCGAAGACACAATACGATACGTAAAAAATAACAATAAAATTATAATCCAGTTAAATCTTCACCAACAATCCTAGATTAGACCTCGGCTATTGTTCCACTTGGCGAGTCGCTACGCTCATGATCGTTGCCCCCGTAATCAGCTTACGAATTAAAGCCATAGAACACACAAAAACAAAAAAAACACCTAAGCAGTAATCAACCAATCACAAATCAACATTTTCTCAAAAATGTTGGAACTTACATATTTGTCAATTAGCACAATTAACGTAGCCAATTGGTCCGAGAACGGATTCAATCCGTACCGGTTAAAAATAAACTAAATAAAGCACGTGTCACACTACACGTATTGCGGATTGCGAATCGGATTGCGAATCGCGAATCGGAATTTTAGCCAATCGAGAACGAAGCTTGCCTTAGTCTTGAAACGTATTCGATTCGTGTATCAAAACTAGGAATTAGGACTGGATTGATATTTAACCAATCAGACGAAAGATAACCAATCTTGAGTTTAGGGAACTCTTTTCTAATTGGTTCAAATTGAAATCTCAACTTCAACTTTGTAGTGTGGTACGAGCGTTAAGCTAATTTCGCTTCATTGCGCATGCGCACCGGAATTAATTCCTCCATATTTGATCGCTGCGTTGTCCTTTTACATTCGGAGAATCATGGTAAGCGAGACGTTTTTCAATTACTCGATAATATTCAGCGTGTAAAATCACAATGAGGTGGTTGAAACGATTTTCCTTAGATCTTGCTTTTCGTTGTTGTCTCACGCGTGAGACGATCGCGTTCTCGCTGATTTTTGACGAACGTGAGATTCTCGTTCCGAATTGTCTAACCTCGCGTAGAAGTTTGTTAAGCACATGGCCGAACACTGTAGATCTTCAGTCTGGTTCCCTTCGAACGCGTGTTGCTTTCTCGTAACCGGAGTTAGTGCGATATCGTATGTTGCTTTTTACCGTGCTTTTTTACTAACTCGTAGATCAGATTCTATGATGCAATTACAGATATACAGAATTTTGTAGCAAATTTATGAATCTTAGGTTACGGATTATATCGTATTTATAATCAATTATATCTGTTGTATATTAACTGTTTTAATTGATGTATGTAACCGTTGCGTTTTCTGTTTGAGCCACAGCTTATGAAAATTTGTAAATAGTTTTGAAAGAACAAGAATATATTAATTATTATTGTTTTGTTCTCTTTTTTGTAGCCATTCCAAAGGTTTGTTCAATCAGGCCGTGTGGCTTACGTGAGCGATGGTGCTTACCAAGGCAAATTGGTCACCATTGTTGACATCATTGACCAGAATCGAGTAAGAATATTTCTATTTTTCACTAAGATATTTTTGTTGCTCTTCTATAGTATAATATAAGGTACAATACTGTAGAAGTTGATTGAAAGATAATGATATTGCCAATCAAAATATTAAAATATCAAATTTGTGAGTCACAATATATACAATATGTTTTATATATTTTCAAAAATCTCAAATGATGAGCCATTATTGATAGGAATTGCCGTCTGACTCTTCTGATGCAATTTTAATTCTCTGATTAAAATGATTAAAATTTTCACATTTAATAACCTATTGTTTAGGATTACGTATTTAAAATTTTTATTGTACTCTTTGTAGGTTCTGGTTGATGGTCCATTATCAGGTGTACCACGGTGTGAGATGAGGCTTAACGAGCTTCATCTGACAAAATTCCGTATACGTTTTCCATTTTCTGGATCAACCCGTGTCGTACGAAAAGCTTGGGAAGTTGCTAAGATAAACGAATTGTGGAAAGAGACAATGTGGGCCAGAAAGGTTGAAGCCAAGAAGAAGGTATTATGCATTATGCTAATAATTCTTCGATTGTTTGCTATATTAATATTCTGCTTGTTGTCTTTATTTTTATTTGTTTAGTTTTTACGTGAAAAGTCTATAAAATATAGATATTGGATATTTGTTGTTTAAAATGTAATTTGTTTTTTTTGTTTTTTACTTAAATGATGTTCGTGTATAATGATAGGAAATGCCGTCTGATTTTTCCTGATGTTACTTTAACGCTGATAATAGAGTTGCGACTTTAGAAGAAGCAAAATTATTTTGAAATATTTTATTGTTACAATATATTCCATTTTCTTTGTTTCAGCGCGCGGCACTTAGCGATTTTGATCGTTTCAAACTGCGCAAAGCGAGACAGATGAGAAATAGATTGCGAACAGCTGCGTTTTATAAATTACGAGCGAAGACAAGAAAATCGTCTAAAAGCAAGAAAGATACAGCAAGCAAACAGGCAAAGGAGGAGAAACCAAAACTTGAAAAAAGTTCCAAAAAAGTGGAGAAGAAGTAATAACCAATTTCAGAATTCAATAAAAATTTACCAGTTATTTTACAAATGTCTTTATTATTTATGAATGTATCTTTCATCTAACTCTTGTCCAAGTAAAATTAATTATACCTTCATTTCCGAATAAACATTTATGACAATAACAATCCATGATACGGAGACACGTAATTCAGAAAGAAATTTCCTCAGGTATTGCTGACTACAAAGATAATTATGCCTACAATTTACGATACATCCAGAAAATGTGTCAACAATATGATGTAGATAAGAGAGTTTTACTAAGAGCCAGATTGACCAACTTTGGTAACTTAAATTGTTTGATAATTCAACGAAACTGATCAATTTGGCCACTCGACTTGTCAAGTTGAGTCGAAGTTAGTTGATCTGATCCTTGATAAAATTGATTGTTAATTTAAGCGAAAGACACTTGAACCTTTTCCATTTCCCACCATTTGTATGAAATCGACAAACAGGACACAATTTGCAAGTAATCGATTCACAAATCAAATTAGTAAATTGCTTTTGAACGAAAGAAAGAATTTAGATATAGAAAAAGCAGAAGAGATATATTTCGTGATTGATATTTATTTCTCTAAAACAAATATATTCTATAAATCGTAGTATTCCTATATATATATATATATATTTTTTTTTTTTTTATGTGTATTTTATATTTATATTCTTTATATATAAATTAATTGAATTAATTATGGATCTATGTACAGCATTAACATTTTTTTTCGCGCGTTTCTTATAAAAAAAGTGACATTACAACTGGAAGAACTCTTCGAAAGGTTTTTTTTTGCTTTCAGTCGTCATGTCGCACAAATAAGCGTAAAATGGATGCGATGCAAATGCATTTTAGTCAATACGATTTGTAAACGATATTTTATACGTACAACATCGAGTACATTGTTAAATAATATCCGAACATGTCCGTTTAATTTAATAAGGATTAACTGCAAAACGCACTAATAGAATCAACACTACTTTATACAGAAATGCCATCTTGCTTTTTACACCTTGCGAGACAATGTTTATAAATAAATATGAAGAAGTGACAAAATTCGTGTATGATCGTTTATACATTAAAAAAAGAAAAAAAATACGCGTGTGTGTGTACGTGAAAAACGAGCGATTGACGTATATTCTCTTCTCTTCTTGAAAAAACATTAAAATTTACGAGAAAGCATATCGCACACATTTATATTTGCCAAACAAAATTAAATTTGTTTAGCTCAAACTATATACAATTGAATTTAATAATATATCAATATTAAAAAAAAAAAAAAAAGAATGAAAAGTGAACGTATATATATAATATACTCGTTGTTCTCTTTTGTATGAAATCTTGGATTATGTACTTTCAGATCACATTTCTTTGAATGATATTTCACATGTGTGTTCTAATTATCTCTTATAAAATATTACTTTAAAAATATTTTGTTCTCCAAATTCTCGGGTACTGGTTCTCAGTCATATGTCAAATTGTGACATTAGCAGAAGCGAGAAGTGACGAAATTTTAAATATGGATTTCTCGTTTCTGACGTCGCAATCCAATATGGCGCCGCAACGAGCAGTACCTAGAAATCTTAATTGTCATCTCACTTTCCCTCCTCCTCCTCCCCCCTCCCCCACACACAATCTCTACAACGCGGAAAATCTACACACATCTCAACAATGTAATTGTTGTGTACGAAAAGACAACACCCATTAGATATTCCCAATAATGTCGTTAAAATTACACTTTTACCCAGTATTAAGAGAGCGATATGATAAAATATATAACGATACTCAAATCATCACGATATCCAAATTGCATAAGTCATTACTACGTAAAATGCGATTCCGATTCCGAATGTAACGCGGCGCGTACTTAAAGATGAACCGAAGGCTTCGCAAGTGCATTTTTTATTTTCACATTTCCCTATTCTCAGTTGTTCTTGCAGTTATTGAGAGTAACATCCAGAGGTTCGTCCATGTTTTGCGCGACCTCCTGCTGAGGGTTGCTCGGCAGATGATGAAACAGCGCGGTAACTTGCGAGTGCCTCGTGGACGCGTGGTGGACGCTCTTCAGGGTGAGATCCATTTCGGCCTCTTGCGGTCGCTCCCTCGTTGTCAGGACGTCGCTGTGGGACTCAACGGGGCTCGCGCAGATCCTCGGTGGCGTTCCGCATCGACACTTGAGCCTGTCGGGTGATTTGTCGCAAGGTACCGAGTATCTGGCGACAAACGTGTATTTGGCGTCACGGCATCACGAACAATCGTCATTCATGACACACATGTATCAATATCGATATATATCAAAATCGTCGGAAATACTCCAGATGAACAAACTGAAAGAGAAAAACAATAAAGAAAGAGAAAAATAGCGCACAAGAGAGGGGAACTGAACTTACCCAGGCGGCGGAGGGGGCAAAATTCTGAAGTCCCTGCAGACCGGCACGGGACCACCGGTGCCACCAGTCTCTGGTAATTTGTCGCTCGAGGTCGGCGAGCTGGTGAGGGCTGACGAGGACGACGGCGACGTGGAGGACGCGTCGGTTACAGAGGGGTTCACAGGGGGCGGCCGGCCGAGTAGCAGCGGAGTTGCGCTTCCTAAACCCAAGCATCGCATTCTCCACGCGTCCTGCAGCAATTGTAACCGAGCTTGCTTTCTCCACTTTGCCCGTCTGTTTTGAAACCATACCTACGGAGGAACCGCTGACCTGACCGATCGTGTTGCCGTGATTTCGCTCTCCCTCTTCCATTTCCCCCTCCCCCCCTCCAAAGCGAAAAAAAATGGCCGAACGTTACGTCCTTAACTAACTACTGACTAACAATTGGTTTTTTTTCTAACAAATGTTTGTTTAAGGCTCTCTTTAGTATACAACTAGCAGAGAAATAAGGATCATTGAGAGAGATCAAGAGCCGATGTATGTGCGAAATATATATTTTTTAAACGCGCAAATTAATATACACATGTAATAATTAGAATTTAATTCAATTCTAAAATTCATATCGATGTTTAATTTGCACACGCACGCACACAAAAGGTGATTCGATTATTGTGTTAGTTAAAACAACTTTAAACGTAATTTTAATTAGAATACAACAAAAGAGAAATGAAGAGAAAGAAATTTACATGTGTACGCGGAAAAATGTTTTTACACGACGATATTCCATGACAAAAAAAGGAATCTGTTTCGTTTTTATCCCGCAGGTAATCACTAAACACACCCCGCGTCACATCTTCTACCCTTTCTACGCTCTCTAACAAGATTCGCGGTTGAGAAGATTCGAAAGCAGTAATCGATGAACTTCCGAGTTTCTCGCACCCATTTGTTTTGTACAGATTTCGCAGGACCGTTTCATCAGCGTTCGCCTAATCGTTTTCGCACAATGGTCCGCGCGTAATAGCCGCTATCGCAGCCAGATGTACGGAGGGTCTTTGTGATACGATCACGAGTCAACCAGTTTTGTTCGAATTCTAATATCATTAATGAATTGAAACATCTGGCTTGTTCCAATTGAAAGATGATGCTCTGGACTTCTACAAGTGCACTTGACATTGCAAGAAAATTAATTAAACTATACACAAATAAACACAACGTGTTTATATTATAAATTTACGTTTTTTTAATTTGAATTGATTAAAAGATTTCTTTCATCGTTGCTCCTCAACAATATTTAATTTTAAATTAGAAAATTAATTATTGACTTCAATGTTCTGCGATATTTTTTAAGTAAACTTTTTTTTGTGTAAGTGGTACATCTCTTATTTATATTTGTACATAATATTTATAAATATATATACGTATGTAGATACCGTATATAAAATAATAGCGCGATTACGAAAAACACAAAATCACATTACGATCATTAGCGCGTTAATAAACTTTTGGCGAAAAGCAGATGAAAACAACCGCGCGCGTTTTCTAATAAGCAGTTAGTGTGCATTTGATCTTTAATTAGTGAACGGTTTTACGGAACGAGGTAATCTGGTGGAAGCTTGTATTTGTGAGTAAAGTTTTGAGGTTGCAAGTTTTCTTAGATATCCTTTAAAAGTAAACCGGCAAAGCAACGGCTAGTATTGGCTTTTATATCGCGGATGGTTTTCCAAATATAAAGAGTTGTCTTTCCATTAAATGATGAAATTTAGATCGGCCGTAAATTCGCAATACAAAAAATCTTGAAATATTAAAGTTTTTGTATGTATTTTTTTTCGCGTGATTTAAATTCTTTTTTAAAAACATATGTTTAATTAAATATTTTTTATTGTGTATTTAAGTATATGCGTGAGTGCGTGCGTGCGTGCGTGCGTATGTATATGTGTGTGTGTGTGTGCGTGTGAGAGAATAATTAACACAACAGACGGAAGAAAAATCGTTTTCTACTCATAACAATTAGCACAAGTTTTACGAAAAAAAACAAAAAGAAAATAAATAAATAAATAAACATAAACGGAAGTGCTAGCAAAAACGATTTACCTGAACACGTGCTTCCGAGAGTGATATCCGAAGTGCGACTTCCTCTCTGAGAAAAACGTCGGGATAATGCGTTTTCTGGAAGAGAGATTCTAATTCCTGAAGCTGCTGCGGCGTGAATGTTGTCCGATTGCGTCTCTGCTTGAAAGAGTCAACGAAAAATACAATTATTACACAGGCCATATGCATGCCAAGGCCTTGTCACGCTTACACGTGATGTAGCATTACTTTTCTACTTTTTTCTTAATAATGTTTAAAAAAAAATTGTTTAACCAAGTGTTTAATTAATACGTTAACTTGCGAAATAATCTACAGCTTATGGAGTGTACCGCGCGCGCCTCTTGTATTTACAAAAACACACTATATGCACATATCTGAGAAAAGAAGAGTAGTCATCCAGGAACAACACAAAATGCAATTGTTTGCTCAAAAAGAAAAATAAAGTAGCGTAAATTTGATCCAATCGCACAAGATTGATGTTAAAAGTTGTGCGCGTTCAAGTTTCTCACCTTGAGAGAATCGCATCTATAGTATAGTTGTCCGATAATTTTTTAAGCAAATTTTAATCAAGTATGAGAGAACAAATAAATTTATAATAAAGAAATAAATAATTACACATTATGGAATCTGTAAATTTGAAGTGAAGATAATATCAAGAATATATTTCGTTGCTTCCAGCATTTCAATCAAAAAATGCTTCACGAAAAAATGGAATAAATGTTGTATCCAGGTGTGAAATCGCGATACGTTTTTTTCGGGATGAACAATGAATATACTGGAAGTGAGAGAAACGTACACTGACCTGACGACGACGACCGAACATATATTCGGTAAGCAGATCGGCCTGAGGCCCGAGAGGTGACAGATACGGGCCCGCCATGGCGAGCGGCCGTTCGGTCCCTCGCGCGCGCGTGTTCGGTTCTCCGGTGCTCCTCCTTTGGCGATCGCGAGAGGACGAAGAGGACGAACCTTTCCTCAGCGATTTCTATCACACGGCTCCAACGAAGATCCTCTCACGGCCGCAGGAGGACGGACCGCTCGTCCGGCGCGAACATGGCGAGAACACTGCGAGAAGAGAGTCGTCGCTTCATTTCGGGAGGATGAGAGAGCGGTAGGAAAACGGAGGGGGTAGCAACCCTCTGTTCGCAACCCCCCGAGCTCGCGCATCAGCGATGGCGTCGCCATTGGCCGCGCTGCTTCGGGGGGCGGTTCCGCCGCGTTAAGAATCACGCATACCCTCTCCGCGAGACATGCAGTTACGTTGAAAATCCGCTAAATCGCGGTCTGCATCCTCCTCCTACTCCTCCACCCTTTTCCTTCCTACCCCTCTCTTTTCCCGTTCTGTGTAGTGCGCTCTATCCTTGCCACTCCCGCTGTTCCCTCAAACTCCTTCTATCTATCCTTGCTTTTGCTCTTTCTTCGTCATTCTTCGTTCGCGTTTCGTTCGCGCTTTACTCCGTTTCCTTCCAACGACCCTCTTCTTCCTTCTGCCGAGAGAATGTGGTTTTTTTTTGTTTTTTTTTATATATGTATATATATTTTATTTCCCTTTTTTTTCTTGTTTCTTCTCTATTTTTCTCGTCTTCTTCTTTTTTCTGTTTTTTTTTTTTTTCCCCGTGACGGAAATAAGCTCGATCGCGCACGGCGTAAGGCAGCGCTTTCTTCGTCTTCCGGAAACGAAACCTCGAAAATCCGTATCGGGGACGCTAACGGGATGCAGGTGGTGGCATCGATCATCGATAGGCTTTTAAACGTGACGTAAGTGCATATATACATCGGGTGTAGCAAAAAAAATCGTGTGCTTTCTCTCAATTACGGAGTCTAAATCCGTCGTCGACTTTTATTCGCCAAGAATGTTTCTCTCATTATCGGAATTCTCAAATATATTTTATACCAGAATTTCGTGCTGAAAGAAAAGAAAATTAAAAAGAAGAAACGTGATCAAAAATTAAATTAAAAGTGAAATGTTTTGGTCCTTGTAGTTAAAAAAAAAAGACTTGAAACAAAGAATTTATCAGTAGTGATAATTTTTATGATCGTTACTTCATTTAATTAATTCTTGTAATATTTCTTCTCCTCTTACGAGACTCCGAGATTTATATCCAAGAAAGCACGCGATAAATTTCTTTCCTGACAAATGTGCAATACATTCACACGTATGCAGAATTGTATTCTTAATCGAATTTGTTTTTTTATCGCGATATTCCGCTATCGCAGTCTGCAATTGATAAAAAAGATACACAGATAAGATAAAATATATTAGATAAGAATAGTTACGTATATATTTACATGAATATTACTTAAGAAATCTACTCTTTTTCTATCAATGAAAAATCGATAAGAATATTTTTTTGCGATAGTGTCAAACTGTTTCCGTCAAGAGAAAAACGAATAATTTGAACACAGAGAGAGAGAGTTAAATAAAAATCTCTCGCGTTGCGTATGCACATGCAATTTTTCTCTTGGCTTTTTGTCGCGCCGCGCGCGCCAAATGATCGGCGAACGTAATCGACAGTAAAGATATTCGTTAAACATGTCGCAAATTATTCTAGCAACATGCGGAACATTTGCGCATCTCGCACGAATATGCAATCATTTGATTGACGCAAAACTCGTATATTTGATACATTGTGCCGCACGCGTCTCTCGGGGTGCGCCATTTACGTTTCCCTCGAGTCCGCATTCCTTTGATATGTATTTAGTGTATTGACTGTGCAAATGCGGAAACATTGCGGGGGTTTTGCTTTTGTTTCCGTTCAAGTTTCTTTTTCAATTAGCAGGCAGACAGCAGATGCATGTGTGTACCATATATATATATATATGTATATATAGAAAATTCAATTCGATTCGATACGTGAGCGCGCCTAGAATATATATCTGGTTTAATTATCATATCGATTTAATTTTTAATAAGCTTCCGTTTTTTTTTTTTTATTAAAACGGAAGCACACACTTACAAGATAAATAAAATATATGTGCTTTTTACCGGGTCCGAAGCGTCTTCAAAGAAAGTGATTCCAAGAATATAATAATTTTCTGAATAATTCTATTCACATTTGCTCACATGACTGACTTAATTAAAGTATTCCAACATGGCTGCTCGTTTCTAAAAAAAAAAAGACACGCGTGTTAATGTGGTTATTGAATTTCTACCTCTCCGCTCCGTGTATCGTCTCTGTCTAAGAAGAGAGAAAAGAGAGAGAGAGAGAGAGAGAGAGAGAGGGAGGGAGGGGGAGAGGAGAGAAAAAGAGAGAGAGAAGGAAAAAGTGAATGAGTGTATATGTGTGTGCGCGCAAGATTGGAGAACAGAATGAGACGGAACGAGAGAGGAAAAATGAAAAGAGGTTTGAATAGGAACGGTAGGAAGAAAGAAGCGCGCGCAATCTTTTTAATTATGAAAACACTGCTTTGTGTTTCATTTTGTTTTGTTGTCAGGGGGTGCTATTCTAATCGGACGCTCTTACCCCCCCGTTCCCCGGTTCACCCCTTCACCGTGTTCTCTCCTCATCGTGTACATCCACTCCCTCTCGCCACTGCCGCCGCCCATCTTCTTTTTTTATATTATAACGTGCGGGCTCTCTCGGGCGGCTCTGATGGGTCAGGGGCGGAGGCAGGGTTGCCGGCAGGGTGCAGGCTAGAGAGGGTGCCACGGTGAGATTGCTTTAGTAATGAATTACATAGCTCGGGGCTATGTGTCTCTGTCTGAGGAATACCATCATCCATGCTCTCCGCTCTCTTCCTTCCCTCGCTGCACACGCGCGCTCGCGCGCGCGCACATGAGCGCGGTTTTCCTTCCTTTTTTTTCTCCGCAGTTTTTTTTCTGTTCTTTTTTTTTTTTTTCCTTATTTTCTCGCGCAGCTTTCGATGGAGAAATCATTCTTGTCAATGGTCACCGCGCGCGCGTTGCGATGCAAATATTATACGTCGAGAGATCTCTGTCGATGATCTTTTCTTTTTTCTGCAATGTCACCCATGAGTTTTATCTATTGTTTTGCTGTTCTCTCTGCTCCTGTCGTGTCTCCTCGGCGTGATTGTTTTTATCTTCCTTAAAAAAAATAAAAAACAAAAACAATATTGCGTCTTAATCAAATTGTTATTATAAAGCAAATAGTTTTTTCGTTTATTGCAAACGTAAATTTGCGAGGAAGCTTTTTATCCAGTCTTGACTCTTTCCTCCGTTTCTGTTTTTTTTTTTTTTTTTTTTCATCTCGCATTAATAATTAAACCGTACAAGAATTGCGAAATAAAGTCCAGCAAAACTAAGAATATATTCAGTAGTTCGTGAAGTAATATCTTTCTCTTTGTTTGTACATATTGTATCAGGATAAAAAACTTCTGGAGCGAGACAATGCATCGCGTCGCATCGGCATCTCCTGATTACAATCGCGATTACTCGCAATCGCGATTTATTCATTCATTGCGTTCTATTTCAGATATGCTTCGTGTCGAGTGGAAAGATTTGTTATTCGAATAAAATATCGTCGCCAGGATAAAATCTAAAAAAGCCATCGCGAATAAAATATCGATTTTTGCGCTTAATCGATTTTTTTTCACGGCCGACAAATTTAATAACTTCTAATTCACTTTGTAAAGCTAGTTATCGCGTGTGGTAAATTAACTTATTGACAATCTAAGTTTGTTTTCTTAGTTGGTCACATCTTAAAATTCAAATTTTTTTTCTGATAATTGAATAATGATATTTAGAAAATAGTTTTGACTTACTTTTGAAATAAAACTTGTGAATTTTTATCTCAAACATGTAAGAAAAGTGTACGGAAGAGAGAACCTTGTTCTTGTTCTTGCAGACCGTCTCAGAAACGGTTGATAGATTAAGTTACAATATATATATATATATGAATACATGATAACTAAAAAACTAGGATTGAGGCCGATGCGCGAGTCTATATACAGATTCTTCGTGTATGTAAAATAACTTTATCACTTTATCGAATATTTCAAACGTTTCGATTCATTCGGTTAAGATCTTCCTCAGTGAATCGACTTAATAAAAAAAAAAAAAAAAGAAAGAATTACCAGCAAATCAAAAAATTAGAAATAAAAGTAAATAAACAAACAGATAGTTAGACTTCAAAATTATTGGAAGTAGTTATTAGTTTGCAACTAATTCTACAATTTTGAAATTTTACCATTTGTTATATTTTACTGGACAAAGACCTTGTTGTTTCCTCATTTGAGTCTAATTTGATCTCTGCACATCTGCTTTTCTCGTGCAATAAATGCAATTCGCATTATAATTAATTAAACATATTTCGAGCGCGATAAGAATCAACATTTCGGTCTCTTTAGTGTTAAGTCCCTCTGGTGGAGCGGCAGGCGAAAAAAAAAAAAAAAAATGTGGAGATGCTGATCGCGAAAAGCAAGAAAAGCAGACCCCGAACAAACTCGCAAAATTTCTTTTCATTTGCATTATTACAGTAATGAGACTGAAAAGCCGGAAAATGTCGGGCTTTTGTCACAGAGGGATTGTCCGCCTAGTCCATTCATTGATTACGTCGGTAGACGGGGTATACGCGGTACATAATATCTCAGCCAATCCACCCTAAAAGATAATGAGTGGTGTGGGCTTTGCCTTTCTATTTGTTGCTCTAAATATCTCAATATAGCCGGACGCTGTGAGTTGCGCCGGCCTACTTAATAATAAGGCGCAATTACGCATCGTTACTTTCGATATTTCCTGATGCTATAGAATTTTAATAGAAATTTTTCATCCAGTAATTATATCGCGAATCTTTCTTCAATTAAAGACTAATGTAAAGCTTCGCAATGTTTTTTTGTTATTTTTTTTAACTCGGTTAATTTGAAGAATTAAATTTTCAGAAAACTGCGTAAAGAATATATCATCAACGACGCGAGAGACGTTATTAATCTTCGATTTGCAAGAATCTCTTCTAACTTGTAAGTAAAAGTTTCGTTTATTTATTACAGGCGTGTAAATCAAAGTCCGGAGACACGTTTTTCGGAGAAATTACAAATTATCGCTCTTCGAAATGCGCGCGTTACTTAAATTTGCAAGGCTCGCACGAGAAGAGATGTCTGCGTAATCGCAAACCGGGTTCTCCGTTCGAGAGAGAGATGTATCTCGTTAATGTAATTTCGACGAATATATATACTACGCGCGCACAGGCATATACACACATCTCCGCGTATCTTTCGCGCAACACGTCTAGCTAAAGGTACACGCCGACAAAAATCTACAAAGAGAATATTTACCGATGACGGTGAGGGTAAAGCGATGCAAACGCACCACATAAAAGGGAAAGGCAGTGGAAAGCAGAGATCTAGGATCACGAAAAAGGCTCGCATTCCACAAAATAATTTTTGTCCGCTCGACAAAGAAAGACAAAGCGGCGAACAGAGACAGAGGATATTATTTGTTGTGTTTTGAGAACAAACTTTCATAAGAGATTAAAAGAGCGAGATTTGTCTATTAAATAATGTAACTATACAACGTGGTGATATTAATTACAAATGTAATAAAAAAAACATAGAGACAAGCGTTCGTACATGTACGCAATTTTTTTCACGACGTTACTTTACAAACTTTTTGCTCGCGATATTATTTTTATGATCGTTCGAAAAAAAAAAAAAAAGAACGGTAGACAGACGAGGGTGGTGCGCACGCATATAACAATAGTTTAATATTCATATTGTCACCGTCCGAGTCAAAAGAATCGACGATTGTTGGGCGTCGCGTCCTAATACGGACGGACAAAACTTCATTCCCCTTCAGAGACTCATTCGCGTCATTCGTTGATGAATTCACTCGGAGTCATTGACGCGAGAGCATCGCTGCGCTATTCCAGCTCGTAAATTAAACTTAACTCAATGCGGTGCCTCTGGTGTTTTTTTTTGACCGAAAATCAAAATTAGAGTTGTTGATAAAAAAAAAAAAAAAAAAAAAAAAATAAAAATACTTTGATGACACATCGAAATAACGAAGATTTAGCGA